AAAAAAAAAAAAAAAAAAAAAAATAAGGTTGTTCCCTGGGCATCCATTTGGAAAGATCTCCAAAACATATTGCAAAGTGAGAAAAGCCGATTGCACATGTCAACATTCTCCATTTCTGTGTAAAAATGAAGAAGAAATAAAAAATATATTATCCTATTTGCATAAGGAAACTTTGGGAGGATTTAAAGGCAATGAATACAGGCAGCTGCCCATGGGTGGCTGAGAAAATCCACCACGACAGGGACAAGCGAGACAGCTCCTCAGTCATGGAAGGAGCACCATGAAGGGGTTGCCTACAGGGCACCTTGAAGGTCTGATGTCGGTTCTAGAGGCGTCTCTGACCATAGCCTGTGGCACTAGGGAGCTTGTTCCTAGCCACGGTGTCCCCAGATGGCAACAGAGCCCTCCTCTGTGTCCTCAAGAACTGGGCGGAGGTTGTGGCCGTGTGCGATGCGGCGGGGTGGGCTGTGCCATAAATTGGGTGGCCTGGAAGTCCCGTCAGCAAACACGAGGCAGCTGTGGTCTTGAGGGTCTGAGAGTTGGGACTCTGGGAAGCCTTCTGCGGTTCAGGACAGCGGTCGTCTCCCTCCGTCCGACCATCCAGCCAGGCGCAGACGAGGCCGGCCGCACAGCTGGCCTTCCCTGGAGGGAGTGTGGCAGGAAGCAGGCAAAGTGACGCTGTGACAAACCAGTGCACCCCTTAGTCACAGGTTTCTTTCAGACTTGGACCACAGCCCCAGTCCCCTTCCAAGGACCGCCTCAAGGTCAGCAGGGGAGGAGCAGCCAGAGAACCCTGGGCAGGGTGGAACAGGTGGGCCTGGAAGCCCAAGTCCCGACAGCGAGAAGACCTGTCAGGAGGGTGCTGAGACCACCCTCTTGAGAGTGTGCAGGGTCTGACAAGGGACATTCAGGGCCCGTAAGGGGTCCCAGGGCTTGCCCAGGGGGTAGAACATGGAGCATCTTTCTGCTGGTTGGGATTTTAACTTGTAGGGTACACAGCATGGCATGGTTACCCTAAAGATGGAGGTTGAAGCCAGGCACGGTGGCTCGTGCCTGTCATCCCAGCACTTTGGGAGACCGAGGCAAGAGGATTGCCTGAGCCCAGGGGTTGGAGATCAGCCTGGGCAACTTGGCAAGACCTCGTCTCTACAATAAATTTTAAAAATTAGCCGGGTGTAGTGTGTGCACCTATAGTTCCAGCTACTTAGAAGGCTAAGGTGGAAGGATCACCTAAGCCCGGAAGGTCGAGGCTGCGGTGGCCGTGAGCGTGTCACTGCACTCTAGCCTGGGCAACAGAGTGAGACTCCAACACATAAAAAAGAGGCTGCTTTCTCCTCAGTACGGAATGACGTCAGATGGTGCTTGGAGCCTGGAGGAAGTATCGAGGTGATGCAGTGTAAACTACCCAGAATGGCATGTGGTGCTGCGGACTGGTTGGTCACCTCCAAGGAGGTGACATGTAGGCTGAGACCACAGGATGAGAAAGGCCAGGAAAAACTCTCCAGGAGCATGCAGGAAGTACGATGTTCCAGGTAGGGCCAAGGAAAGAAAGCCT